CCTAGGCTTCAAGGCTCCTGCCTGGTGGGGGTGGGGGTGGTGGTGGCAGGTGCTCTGACCCCCTGCTCCTGTCCTCAGGGAGTGGGGAAGGCCAGGGCCAGATCCTGCAGCGCTTCCCGGAGAAGGACTGGGAGGATAACCCCTTCCCTCAGGGCATCGAGCTGGTGAGTGGGGTGCTGGCTGCTGGGGGGCCAGGCCCCCGCTAGGGACAAGGAGATGTCTGAGCTGCTTCGGAGGGTGGGGGGCAGGGGCACTGGCTTGGCTGGCAGGGTGCTCGGTGCCCACATCCTGTCATCCCTCCCTCTTCACTATGGGGACCATGTCCTGCATCACAGGGTCTTCACCTCACCTAGACTATTACTCCCTTTTGTGGGGGGCGGGCTAGGTCAGGAGGTGAGGTGCCCCCGGTGGCCCAGGGAGGTGCTATCTGCTGCTCTGGCACCTGGCATCCAGGCCCTGGCTGTGCACATACTCCGTGGCAGCGTGCAGAGGGAGCTGACCCCTGACCCCTCCCTCCCACAGTTTTGCCAGCCCAGCGGGTGGCAGCTGTGTCCTGAGAAGAACCCACCGACCTTCTTTGTTGCTGTCCTCACTGACATCAACTCCGAGCGGCACTACTGTGCCTGCTTGACCTTCTGGGAGCCGGCAGAGCCCACGCAGGTCAGCTTGGGGCTGCGCCTCTGCCCCTGCTCCTGCCCCTGCCCCTGCCCCTTCCCCTGGGTGTGTCTCCCTGTCTGTGGTTGTCCTGGCACCTAACCCCATGGAGCCTGGAGTTTCCGGAAGAGTCACCCGTGTCCTGCTGGGTTCACGGGACCTGCCTGGGAGCCAGGCGAACAGGCTTCTGTCCACAGGAAGCCGTGTGCTCGGAGGACGCTGCCGGGAGGGAAGAGGAAGCCGACGAGGGAGGCTCAGGGCGACTGTCACCTGGCACGTCCGGCCCACCTGGCCAGCTGTTCGCTCCAAAGACTCTGGTGTTGGTGTCTCGGTTGGACCATGTGGAGGTGTTCAGGGTGAGGCGGGCAGCCAGGCCCCGAGGCAGGGCGTGGGTCTCGCAGCAGCTGCTGCCATGCTCGTCTGTGGCTCTTGCAGAACAGCCTGGGTCTCATCTACACCATCCACGTGGAGGGCCTGAACGTGGGCCTGGAGACCGTGGTCGGGAACCTGCTCACCTGCATCATCCCCCTGGCTGGGGGCTCACAGGTGGGTCTTGAGGCAGCTGCTGGGCCCTCCTTGCGCCCGTGGCTGTGGGGGTGGGGCTGTAGGCACTCCAGAGTCTAGCCTGGGCGGAGCACAGCCCCAGGCCTTGGACACGCGTGTGTCTTGGTGCCACTGCCAGCTGCCATCCTTCCTTGGCCTGCCTGCTCGCCTGTGTGTCCGTGTCGCCTGGCTCTCTACCTGGCACCTGTCAGTGTTTCTGTCCTCTCGCTCCTTGGTTGTGCTGTCTCTGGATGCTCAGCCCCTCTGTCCGAGCCGCCATGTGCGAGTGTGTCTAACTGTGTCTCTCTGCCCGTCTGTCCTGTGCAGCTGGACTCTGTTGAGGACGGAGTGGTACGGACTCTTTGTTTCTTCTGCCCACCCAGGCCCGTCCCTGCCCCAGGTCAGAGGCCCCGAGCTCTCTCTGCAGCACTGCTCGGGCCAGCAGAGGCTGGTGTGGCCTTTCCCTCGGGCCTGCCGCTGCCCCGGCCAGTCCCACCTCGGGCCCTGTCAGCCCTCCAGGCCTGCTGAGGCCACGGAGCTCTGGGCTGACTCGGGACTGGGCGGGGCCCCTGAGCACCACTCTCTCTCTTCCCACAGAGAACCATCTCTTTGGGGGCGGGTGACCGGCAGGTCATCCAGACCCCACTCACTGACTCCCTGCCCATCAGCCGCTGCAGCGTGGCCCTGCTCTTCCGCCAGCTAGGTGAGCCTGCCGCTACAGGCCTCCCTTTCCTCCCCTGGCCGGGGTCAGAGGTTGAGGCTGTCACCCTGCGTGGGGTGGGTTGGGGCGGGGCCTGCCAGCCTGTCCTCTCCCTTCAGGCATCACCAACGTGCTGTCTTTGTTCTGTGCTGCCCTCACTGAGCACAAGGTGCTCTTCCTGTCCCGGAGCTACCAGCGCCTCTCAGACGCCTGCCGGGGACTCCTGGCCCTGCTGTTCCCGCTCCGATACAGGTGCCTGCCCGGGCCCCAGCTGCCACCCAGCCCTCTGCCTGGCCCCTCTGCCCAGCCCCCTCCTTCCTGGCACCCACCTCACTGAGCCCTGGCCTTTGCAGCTTCACCTACGTGCCCATCCTGCCGGCGCAGCTCCTGGAGGTGCTCAGCACGCCCACGCCCTTCATCATCGGCGTCAACGCAGCCTTCCAGGCAGAGACCCAGGAGCTGGTGAGGGCCACGCTGGTGTCCGCCCTGCGCTCCAGGCCCTGCTGGCTGGCCTGCGGGTCCCTGACCGTGCACCGCCTTTGGTCCGCAGCTGGATGTGATTGTGGCTGACCTGGATGGAGGGACGGTGACTGTCCCCGAGTGTGTACACATTCCACCGCTGCCGGAGCCGCTGCAGAGCCAGACCCACAGCGTGCTGAGCATGGTGAGACCACGGGGAGGGCAGGAGGGCAGGGCCTCAGCGCCTGGGCTGGTGCGCCTGACCGCGCTCCTATCCGCTGCTTAGGTCCTGGACCCGGAGCTGGAGTTGGCAGATCTCGCCTTCCCACCCCCCACAATATCCTCTTCCTCCCTGAAGATGCAGGTGGGGTCATGCCTTCCTGTGCCCTCTCCTTAGGCCTGCCGCCAGCACAGCGCAGCCACCCCGGCCGCGGGGGAGGTGGGAGGGCAGGCGCTGAGCTCCGAGGGCCCTGGGCAGGAGTGGTGGTCGGTGCTGTCACAGGCATCCCTGCGCTATGTGTGGAGGGGGCTGGAGGGAGAGGAGGGTCTGAGGCACCTGGGGAGGCTTGAGCAGGGCCCCCACAGGGTTTGGGTTCGAGGAGGTGGAGCCTGGAGTGGGTGGAGGGTGAGGGCTGCCTGTGCAGGGGCCGGGCACTCACCTGCACTCACCTGCGACCCAGGACAAGGAGCTGCGGGCTGTTTTTCTGCGGCTCTTTGCTCAGCTCCTGCAGGGCTACCGTTGGTGTCTGCACATGGTCCGCATCCACCCGGAGCCTGTCATCCGCTTCCACAAGGTGGGCATCAGGGTGGGCACAGCGGTCGGGCAGCAGTCAGTGCCTGCGGGCTGACCTCCTCGTGCACCCCAGGCAGCCTTCCTGGGCCAGCGTGGGCTGGTGGAGGACGACTTCCTGATGAAGGTGCTGGAGGGCATGGCCTTTGCGGGCTTCGTGTCGGAGCGCGGGGTCCCCTACCGTCCTACGGACCTGTTTGATGAGGTGTGCCCTGCCCCAGCTGGGAGGAACCCCCACCCCTCCCCGTCCTGGTCAGGGCCTGACGCTCTCTCTCCACAGCTGGTGGCCCATGAGGTGGCGCGGATGCGGGCGGACGAGAGCCACCCCCAGCGGGTCCTGCGTCACGTCAAGGAGCTGGCGGAGCAGCTCTACAAAAACGTAGGTGGGCGGCACGGGTGGGTGGCCCGGGAGGCCACTCTGCGGCCCCAGCCCTGGGAGCTCTGGGAGCCCTGGTCTGCCCGCCCACGCCTCCTGTGCCCCCCAGGAGAACCCGTACCCCGCCGTGGCTATGCACAAGGTGCAGAGGCCGGGGGAGGCCAGCCACCTGCGGCGGGCGCCCCGGCCCTTCCCCCGGCTGGACGAGGGCATGGTACAGTGGATCGTGGACCAGGCCACGGCCAAGATGCAGGGAGCACCCCCCGCTGTGAAGGCCGAGAGGAGGACCACCGTGCCCTCGGGGCCCCCTATGAGTGCGTAATGGGGGGGAGGCCCTGAGTCTGGCCCGGGTGGGTGTGAGGTCAGAGGTGAGTGCGTGCTCTGCTCCCCAGCCGCCATCCTGGAGCGGAGCAGCGGGCTCCATGGCAACAGTGCTCGCCGCCTGGAGGTGGTTCGAAACTGCATCTCATACGTGTTCGAGGGGAAGATGCTCGAGGCCAAGAAGGTGAGGGTGCTGGGCGCGGGGGGCGCTGGGTGTGGGGGCTCTGGGTGCAGGAGCGCTGGGCCCCAGCTGGGTCTCCTTACCTTCCATCAGTTGCGGGAGCTGGGCTGGCAGGGAGGGCAGTGGGTGCCAGGGCTCAGGTCCCTCCAACTCAGTGGGGTTCAGTGAGAGCCATTTCTTTCAATTTTCTCTTTTAAATTCATTGGAGGGACGTTGGTTAATGGCTCACATGTGTTTCAGATGGGCACTGTGACACGTGACCTGTATATTGCGGTGTGTGCCCACCACCCACATTCAGATCATCTTCCATCACCATATACTTGGCCCCTTTGCCCTTTCCTGCGCCCCCACCCCCCAAAGGTTTCTTCATCCTTCACAGAAAGTGTTGACCCACATGTTTTTTTAAAAAACGGATAGAGCCCTAGTCAGTTTGGCTCAGTGGATATAGCATCAGCCTGGGGACCGAAGGGTCCCGGGTTCAATTCTGGTCAAGGGTACATGCCTGGGTTGCAGGCTCGATCCCCAGTAGGGGTCCTGCAGGCGGCAGCCAATCAATGATTCTCTCTCATCATTGATGATTCTCTCTCTCTCTCCCTCTCTCCCTTCCTCTCTGAAATCAATAAAAATATATTTTAAAAAAATAAAAAATAAAAAACGGATAGAAAAGGGAACCCACTCACTGCTTTTGGTGGTGCTCACGACAGCTGGGGGTCGAGGGACAGCTGTCCGGGTTCCTCCTGCCACAGCGGCGGGGCCCGGGGGCGGCAGTTCTAGTCGTTGCCCAGTGAGCAGCAGGCTTGTGCTTGGGAGGAGGCCCGGCGAGCTCGCTGAGCGCTGTGCTGTGCTGTGCTCAGGGCCCGTCTGCGCCCTGGCTGATGCGCGTGCAGCCTGCATCCTCCTGCCTCTGCCTCCGCGCGCGGTCGCGTGTGGAGCCCTGAAGACCCAGTGCCTGGCACACCTGAGGGCCCTGTGTTTACAGCCTGGGTGCCCGCCCTCCAGGGCACAGTGGGTGGTCCCTGTGTAGTCAGTCACATGCCCTCAGCCTCTGTGCTCCATCCCCAGCTGCTCCCCGCTGTGCTGAGGGCCCTGAAGGGGCGTGCGGCCCGCCGCTGCCTGGCCCAGGAGCTGCACCTGCACGTGCAGCAGAACCGCGCCGTCCTGGACCACCAGCAGTTCGACTTTGTCGTCCGCATGATGAACTGCTGCCTGCAGGTGAGGCGGCCGGCACGGGGCCCGCAGGGGCCTGAGCTACACGGGTGTGGGGCCTGCAGAGGCTCCCGGGTCTCCATGGGCACAGGGCCCACAGGGTGCCTGGCACTGCCAGCGGGTGGGGGAGGCCCTGGTCTGTGGGTGGGTACTGGGTTGTCCTGCCCTGAACCTTTGAACAGCCCAGGGCAGCCTGGGGAAGGTTCAGGAACCGTGGTGGTTGGTGCCCTGGGAGGTGAGGCGTGGGGAAGGTCTGATGGCTCTGCCGCTGACGCAGGACTGCACCTCTCTGGACGAGCACGGCATCGCGGCCGCTCTGCTGCCCCTGGTCACTGCCTTCTGCCTGCTGAGTG